AAGTCTTGAGTGGGTACCCCACCCACAGGTATGAATCTTGGAGGTGTGACAAGTAGCGAAGCCATCCTCACAGTCCAGGTACCACGATTTGCCGCCCACTATATTCCCCGTGGTGCCCATGGTGCCTGCACTCAGAACCATAGGCTGAATGGAGTTGGACCTAGATCAGGGTGCGGTCTGCTCTATCCTTTCCCCTGTGGAAGTCCTACCTGCCACAACTACTCCAGACACCCCCCTCCCACTCTCCCCACTTTCACGCCTCCCCCCCAGTCAAAAGTCATCTCTTCTTTCAAGTTCATAGCCCAGTTGAGAATCAACCAGAAAAACTGGATAGAACACTGAGTCACCACTGAGACTCGAACCCCTACTTTAACAGCCTAGGAAACAGAGGCCCAGAAAGCAACATCCAAGTCCCTTGGCCAAGACACTGGACTTTTAGGGAAGCACCAGGTCCCTGTCACCTTCTCTCTCAGAGGATGGGTGCTAAGTTTCCACTCCCTGCCTGCTGCCTCTCTGGGTACCCAGGCCACGGTGACCTCCAGAACCAGAGGATTCTCTGAGGGTTTCCTGACAGGCAGGCATGGAGGAGAGACAAAGACAGGAAGATGAGGCTTGCAGGCCAGCCTGGTCCCGATAAAGATTGTTGTAAATTGCCGGCTGTGCCCTCATGGCTCACCTGGATGTGGGATGTAGTAATGATACCTTTCCAGATGTGTGGATTTCCACACAGTAATGGAAGCAAGGGGCTCTGAACCCAAGTGGGGAGGGGCCGGCATCCGGGACAGCACAGGCCTCACTGAGACTCCGTGTGCTGATGGAGCGGGGAGGCGATGTTGGCAGCACTGGGCCCTGACGTTCATAAGAAGCTGGCACCCATCCCTGCCTGTCCTCATCCTTACCGCAGTGCTCCCCAGCCCCAAAGCACAAGCAAAGCCACCAACATCCCCATCACAGCCCAGGACAGACAGACTGAGCCCTTCAGATCCCTTCCCCCGGTACCTACCCATTATTAGCCCCGAGTGGAGAAAGAGACATGACTAATTGTGCCCACAGTTTCCTCCTGGCATGGACAATTAGCCACCTGCATCTAATTCTGAGGGACCCAGAGGCTAATTACATCTGCCAGACCCCACGTTGGTGTGTGCATGTGCGTGTGTGTGCGCTTGTGTGCGTGTGTCCTCTCGCCAGCAGGCGTAAAAGCAGTAGAATCGGTATTTGTATTGCATTTACCGTCTGGTCCCTGAGCCTGCTGGGCCCTCAGTTCCAAGGGCCCCAGCCAGGACATTGTCCTTTGCAGAGGAGGGGAATACAAATGTTCATGGGTAAAGGGGAAAGCCCAGCCCATAGCCGGTGCTAACCTTCTGACACACTAGGGCAAAGGTTCACTGGGCAGCTGCTGTGACCCAAGTCCGCTGCCCCAGAGTCCAGAGCCAATGCCTCCCAGGCCCTCCTCCACCCCATCTCCTGCCTCTGTCCAAGCTCTGCACTACCTCCAAAGTAGATCTGCTGGCCTGGCTGCTTTGCCCCGGCTCAGGACTGAACACGCCCTGGGAGTCTGTAGGATATGTTGGGGCTGATGAATGGTAACCTCTGCCTCCCTGGAATGCCTGTGGCTTCAGCTGCCATGCAGCAAGCAAGGACTCCCATCAGCTTTGCACCCAACACGGGCGTGGCGCCTTCCCCAGCTCCAAACCTCCACCTGCTCTGACTGGACCCACGCTGAGTCCCTGACCTTGGCCTCCGTCTTTGTTTTTGCTCCTACTGGGGCTGCTGAGGACTTTAGGCATCCAGTCTCCACCCAGGCTGAGATCCCCTATAGGACGTGGATCTGTTCTTAGCAGGTCTGGAGGAGTACGCCTGGGTGCAGCTCTCCTGACTCACACAGCAGGTGAGCACACGAGCGTCTTCCCCTGAGCCTATGGTCCTGGACCTAATGTGTTTCACTTGTCCACGGCAGCCTCTGCCCTAGCACCAGTGGTTGATGGGCCAGCACAGACAACAGCTCTGATAAACACTCAGAAATCAGTGGCTTCTCTTTACACAGGCTGAAAGGATGGCTGGCTGGATGGGTGGACGTGGGAGTCGGTTCCAGGCAGTCATTCTGCCACCAGGCCTCTTCTAGCCAGGGCCCAGAGTTCCAACTGCCCTGTCTGCATTTGAAGGAGGTTGCAGAACTGAGACTGGAGGAGGTGGGGCTAGATGGCAGGTGTTCAAGGCCATGCCTAGAAGGGCAGTGGACATTATTTGTCCTGCCCAGAACTCAGTCACATGGTTTCCCCTGGCTGCATGGGAGCCTGGGACATGTAGCTCACTTATGTGTCCAAGAGAAGAAGTGATGTGCTTGCTGACCAACTCACACCTATGGCTGCCACTCCCCATCTACCACCTCAGCCATAAGGTAAACCAAGAAATAACTAGGCATTTCCTATAGGCTATGGTCTGTATGAGCTGACGACCCAAAGGCTCAAGTAGTAGAGGTTTGGCCTGTGGTGTGGATTAGAGATGTGGTAGGAGAGAGATTCTTAGCAAATGGGGGGACTTTCCCTTAGAAGGAACGAGGGATCTTCTTGAGGACCCCAACTTGGTTCTGGAGAGAGACAGCCTGGTGCCTGAACTACCGTCTGGCTTCCTGTCTTGAAATGCGATCTCTTTCCCCTACACCTATTCTGTGTTGCTACGGCAACCCCACCTGCCATTTGAGCCTCTCCAGATCCAAGTCAATGCCCAGAAACCTCTTCTCTTAAAGAGGAGCCTAACCCAGCAGTTTTGTTACAGTATCAGAAAACTGTCTAATACACACAGGCAACCATTGAGGAAGAAGGTGAGATTGCCCAAAAAGAAATGTACTCATTGCCTGCCGTATGTGACTGTAACCCCTCTGTACTTTACCTTTATAATAACAATTTTAAAATTATTTTTTTTTGTCGGTTGTGGGGCCTGAACTCTGGGCCTGTGCGCTGTCCCTCAGCTCTTCAGCTGTAGACTAGCACTCTACCACTTGAGCCTCAGCCCCACTTCTGGCTTTTTCTGCTTATGTGGTGCTGAGGAATCGAACCAAGGGCCTCATGCATGCAAGGCAAGCGCTCTACCACTGAGCCACCTTCCCAGCCCCTAAAAATTATTTTTTTTTAAAAAGATAATCATTAAGAGTGGAGAAGGGGCTCAAGTAATAGAGTGCTTGTCATACAGTTGTTTAAAGATACAGGTGGACCTGTTGCAACAATGAGAGGTACAAGTTGTCATGTCCAAAATGAGCTTTACAACGTCGGTGCGGGGGGGGGGGGAAAGGGGGGAAGGAGAAGGATTGGGATTGGGGGGGAGGGGGAGGCTGGGAAGGGATGTGAAGGGTAAACAAAAGGAGGAGGCTGCAATGCTTGGTAAGAAATGTACGCATTATCCTGCCCATGTAATTGTAACCCCTCTGTACAGTATCTTCACAAATAAAATAAAAAAAATAAAAAAGTACAAAAAAACAAAAACAACAAAAAAAAGATAATCATTAAGAGTGGAGAAGGGGCTCAAGTAATAGAGTGCTTGTCATACATGTACAAGGCTCAAGTCCCAGTACCAGCACAAAAAGCGAAAGCAAGGTAGACTTACAAGTCACCAAGGCATGGAGTAGCATCCAGCACAGAGGTGCTCAGTAAATAATTGCTGATGGGTAAATGGGGTTCACAAAGGCATGGTGGCAGAGCTAGGGTTAGTGGACAGGACGATTATACATGTTATAAAAACAAACAGACATAGTTTGTATATATTTCCACTACACAGACCGGAGTATTTCAAGGGCACAAGCTGGCTGGGGCTGTGTCTTGCTGGAAGATTCCACACATAACTGAGATGCGGTTCAGGCAGCATCCTCCAACTCATTTGACCGTCGGGTGTTATTTAGATGGTGCTGTTTTGTCCAGGAGCCAAGGCAGGCTCCAGCAGTGCCATCTAAATTAACATCGACAGAGAAATGAAAAATAATAACACGGTCTCATAGTTGAGGTAATTGCCCTTAGATCAAAATTGGATCCATATGCTTAATAAAAAGTAAACATTAAGTAATCACACCAAAAAAATGTGAAAATGATTAGACAAAAGGCCTAAAGAAGACCAGCAATGGCCTCACAAAGAAGTACACAACTCAGCTCACACATGCCCTGCACCTGTTACACTTCCGGCTGAAGGTAGTCGTCACGTGACTCCCTACCTTGTGTGTCTGGTTATCACACTCTGCACAGGAAGTGACTGGTTCTGTGGCTTCCCACTGTCATCCATGCTGTGAGAGATCCCTTTCCCAAGAGGGAGGAGCACTTCAAAGAAAACCCCTCCTTGTCCAGGATGCACTGTGTCCCTGGTGTGTCCCCACCTCCCACGTGGACGCCACCATCAGTCCCACTAAGTCCTTCCTATCTGGAGATGGGACCCAGGAAATCTGGCAAATGCACAAGAAACTGCTCCCTAAGCTGGAGATGGGTGGCTCATGCCTGCAGTCCTAGCTACTCAGGAGGCTGAGATCTGAGGATCTAACTCGATGAGACTCTTAATCTGTAATTAACCAGAAAAAAAAAAGCCAAAAGGAGAGCTATTGCTCAAGTGGTAGAGTGCCAGCCTTGAGCAAAAACCATGAAGGGATAGTGTCTAGACCCTGGTTCAAAACCAAATCACAAAAATCAAGCCACAAAGATTCAGGGCTGAGTTGCACCTGGGATTCAGGGTTGTGGTTTCATCGCCCTCTTACTGGTACAGTCTTCAGGGACAAGCTCAGCAGCGCTCCAGTGCGGGCTTGAGGACCAAGCGAGACAACATGATCCACCAGCTGTAGTTCCCCCTGCCCCCCCGCCCCTGCCATTCACCTCACCGATCCTCTTGTGTGCCATGAAACAGAGTTTGGCAAACAGTATCTGCCTGCTGCCATAGCTGTTTATTTAACACCATTGATGGACTGGCTTCACCTCGTTTCCCTTTTCCTCCTCCCTTTCCAAAGAACAGCTTACAATTAAGTCACACAGTGGGCGCATGACAATTCCAGGTAGGAAGACTGAAAGCTCTCTCTGATAACTGGCCAGCTGGAGTGTGCAGGGAAGGATGACCCGCCACCAAGTCCTTTGGATCTGGAGATGGGATCCAGTGAATGTGAGGAGGAGCAGCTTTTCTTGGCCCAGTGCCCTAGGATGAATTTGTCACAGGGACATTTGCATAAGTGGACTGAGTGGAGCAATGAATTATATCCCCAACAGTCATTTGGTTAAAAAAAAAAAATGTAGCAGTGTCCCTGCATCTTTGTTGTTGTTGTAGTTGGTGGTGGTGGTCATGGGGCTTGAACTCTGGGCCTGGGCACTGTCCCTGAGCTCTTCAGCTCAAGTCTAGCACTCTACTACCTAATCCACAGCACCACTTCTGGTTTTCTAGGTGGTTTTTTGGAGATAAGACTTTCATGGACTTTCCTGCCCGGTCTGGCTTTGAGCTGTGATCCTCAGATCTCGGCCTCCTGAGTAGCTAGGATGACAGGCGTGAGCCACCAGCACAAGCTTTCTGCATCTTCTTACACCACTGTGATGGTTTGCTAAAACTACAAAAGGTACTTCCACAAAGGAATTCTAGAGAGAAATTGGAGTAACTACCAGGCCTTGGGCCCTGGCAAAAGAGCACACAGAAACCCTTCTGCAATTCAGTTTAAACTTGTCTCCTCAGACCTTCCCCGGGCCTTCCACAGACATCTTTTGTGGAGCCTCTGGGCTGGTCCCAGCTGCCTCCAGCCCCTCCTCCACAGTGCTGCCCCAGGGACTGTCCTAAAACCACAGCTGAGCTTGTCTCATCCTGTTCAAAAGAAATATTGTGCTGGATCGTGGGAGCCACCAACATGTCTGATCTCCATGCCCTGACATGTGATAGGGGCTCAGAACGTATCCCCGCTGGATAAAGGATGCCTTCAGATCTCACACATGGAAAGGTCTCACACCTTGCCAGTTCCAATGTCAGCGTCCACTTGCGGCTCCTCATGGCTTCTCTGGTGTGTCACTTTGAGGAACTGCAGTAGAAATAAACTCTATGAAGACCCCGCCACAGGCAGCAGACCGCTGCGTGTCACGGGCAGCACAGGAGAAACACGGCCCTTGTTGTCAGAAAGTTGTGCTTTGAAGGGGCCGCTGGAGCCTCAGTCTCCTAGTCTACAAAACAGCAGAGTGGACTGGGAAGGAAGGTTGCTGCAGTAGTAAAGCATTTGCCCAGCCAGCACAAGGTCCTGAGTTCAATTCCTAGTATCACACACACACACACACACACACACACACACACACATATGCACACACACAAATTACATAAAAAGTGGACTTTTTGTATCCTGCTGGTCTGAATGGGGATGGGGGGAAGGGGTAAAATGCAAGGTTGTGCCAGGAGCTGGTGGCTCTCACCTGTAATCCTCGCTCCTCAGGAGGCTGAGTTCTGAGGATAATGGTTTGAAGCCAGCCCAGGCAGAAAAGTCTGTGAGACTCTGATCTCCAATTAGTCACAGAAAAATCCAGAAAGGGTGCTTTGGCTCAAGTGGTAGAGAGTTAGGCTTAAGCAAAAGGAGCCCAGGGATATAACCCAGACCCAGAGTTCAAGCCCCAGGAACGACCCCCCCCACAAAAAAAATTGGCCAGGTAAGTATAAGAAGCAAGTAGGGACGGTACTGTATGTTAGGAAGAGCTCTAGAAGGCAAACCCACCCACCCTGCCCACCTCCCCCACATGCTGCCTCTCAGCAGGGTGCACTTCAGATGCACCTGGTAAGCAGGTATCTCCGTGGGGGGGGGCTCGCTGGGAGGAGCTGTGGAAGCATCTGCGAGGCCCTCTGGTTGCCACCCCACCCCACTTTTCCCCAATATTCTGGGCAGCATTCACAAATATCCAGATTAAACATCCAATAACTTCACATTTCTTTGATCTCATGGTGCTAAGTATAGAAATAACCTTTTGATTTTTAAATAGAAGTCAGGGAACCGAAGACAAGCGAGAGCCTTCCAAGCCACCCAGGCACAAGTGTGGGGTTCAGGCAGGGCGCAGAACGCGGTGGGGGAGCCGTCTGACAATCCAGAGTTCCGGAGAGCAAGGTCTGAGCGCGCCTCGCAGCAAGCAGGCACCGCCTGGGCCGGGAAGATGATTAGCAAGAAACCAGGAGCACCTCAGGGGACCCTCCCACAGACAGTCTGTCACCCAGTGTTTTTACCATTCCATTTCAAAGTTTAATTAGAGAATCGCTTTCCAATGCTTAGAGGCAATTAACCCCTTTGCATCAGTCCCCGTGACGCAGGCAACATTCATGGGCCACAGACGCCAAGATGCCCACGATGGTGCTCAGCCATTGGAAGAAACAGATTGGGAAGAAAACATTTGTCAAGGAGAAGAGCTGACAAATATTGGTGGGGTTTCAAGAGATAAAACTTCCTTCCTAAATGTCACCAGAAGAAACTTCGCATCCGAGAACTCAACCTACCTTGGTCTCAGCTTCTCTTTTCCTGCAGGCCTATACACTGTTCCCTCCTGGGCCAGCTAGGCATCAATTCCCAGAGAGGAAGACCCAGGTCATGGCGTGGGGAGGGAGGAGGAGTTCACACACCAGCGCGCTCTCTCTTTCCCTTGCTTGTTAGCTACTGCTCTGGTCCTGTCTTGTCTATCTCAGTGAGAGAATGGAGACCCCCATGGTTTCACCCAGGTGATACCTGTGCCCAAGATGGTAGGAGACCCAAGAGAATGTACAAAATGTGCCAGGCATTCAAAAGCAAATCTGTTTGTTGGTTCCAGTTCTGGGGTTGAAAAGTCTGGGCTTGTGTGCTGTCCACAGCTGGTGCTCTACCATCTGGAGCCACAACTCCACTTCCAGCTTTTTTTGGGGGGGGGGTGCGTAATTGGAGATAAGAGTCTCTCAGACTTTCCTGCCCAGGTTGGTTTCGAACTGCCACCCTCAGATCTCAGCCTCCAGAGTAGCTAGGTTTATTGGTATGAGCCACTGACTCGCAGCTCCAAAACAGGTGCTGTGTCATCCAATACTATAGTCACTGACCGTAGGGAGCAATTTAATTTAAATTCAAATTAAAAGAGAAATGGGGTTGCTCTGAGGCCCCAGGTACATCTCCAGAGCTCCGTGGTCACACGTGGTGGGTGGCCACCACACCAGACAGCACAGCCACGAAGATTCCCATCACAATCTCATCTACAGAGCCATGGTGTCAAGGGTGAGGGAAAGACCGAACTTCCAACAAGAAAAGGAAAAACTCAGACATGGAAGGCAAAAGGTCATCTAAAGACCCTTCCCCAACTTCTCAGTTTTGCCTAGGATCTGCCTTAGGGAAGGCTGGATTGGGTCAAAGACAAGGTCAAGATGAGGAGCAAGACTCTTGCGTAGGCTCGGCTCCCTGCCTCTGAGGGACTCACAGCTCTGGCAGAATAGATTCTCAACGCACATCTATCCCTGTGTGCCAGCTGTGAGATACTGAGCACACTTCAGGAAGCACCTGTCCACACACAGCCCTGTTTGTGGCAGGTGAAGCCCAGAGACGTGGCTACTGCGAAGAGAGAGATACCCAGGCACCAAATGGTAGCCCTCTGGTTTGGATTAAAACCCCAATCAGAAAGCAGCTTGCTGTACTTGTGGAGATGGGAGGGAAGGGATGGTAGGGGAAAAACAAAGGAGGAGACAACACTGCTTAATAAGAAATGGACTCATTACTTTGCTCGTGTAACTGTAACCCCTCCTCTGTACAGTATTCTCACATTAAAAAACTTATTAAAAAAAAAAGAAAGCAGCTTGCTCCCCAAGAATGTATATGTGGTATCTTCCTCACCATCTATTAATGGGAAGGAACACAGGGAAGGACACGCGCGCACACACACACACACACACACACACACACAGAGTTCAGTACTGTCCAGCTCATGGGGGGGGGGAGGGGGATGCGGCCTCCAATCCTAGGTGCACTTTTCTCCCAACCCTGCTCTGTGCCTCACCCCTACCCCATCCTCACCTCTTGATCATTTCTGTCTCCACAGCCCCTCTTCAGCGAGGCTGACGTCCAGCATCCTCTCTTTGCAGAGCCTGTCCTGTTCATGATCACTTTAAAAGGGATACAGAAAGGGGACAGAAGGGACTGTCTCATTTTATTCTGGAAGTCAAAATCTATGCTCTTTCCAGAAAATTAGAAGGCAAAAGGGAAGTGGAGGGATGCGGGGTAGGGGGGAGATCAGAGGCAAACATGTTTTCTAGGAGTAGCTGACTGGTAGATGGGCCTTTGAACAGGTCAGGGAGCAATCGTGATTTCCCACACTACCCCAACTTCCTGTGGTTGGTAGACTGTATTCACTCAAGTAGTCCCTTGGGTTGGATGTTATTTCCAATTTCTCTTTTATCTGCAGGGCTTGATTTACCTCTTCAGGCACAAAATATTTTTCCACATTTTGGATGATTTCTTGGGGCTACCTTCCCCAAACTGGAATTACTAAATGGAAAGTTCTGATTATCTTAAAAAGATTCATGATACAAACTCACTGTTGGGGCTTTCCCTTCTCTCCTCTCAGCAGCCTTCACGTAGGTAGGTAAGTGTCTGGTTTTATGTTGTTGTTGTTTTAAAGGGAGAGTATTAGGGATTGAAATCAGAGTGAGTCCTGGCCCTTAGCTTTTTCACTCAAGGCCAGTGTTGAAGCTCTTGAACCACAGCTCTGCTTCCAGCTTTTTGGTGGTTAATGGGGGCTCAGTCTCAAAAACTCTCCTGCTGGGGTTGGGCTCAAACTACGATCGTCAGGTTTCTGTCTCTTTTGAGCAGTTAGGATTATAGGGGTGAACTGGACAGGGCTTTGCCTGGCCTGTGTGAGGACTCCCAACCGCCCCCCCCCCAAATTCCCCAATCTCCAAGCCGGACAGGCAAGAGGGCTCTCTAGCCTGATTTATCTTCTAGACCTGGGACAAGGATTCCTAATTGACTCTAAAGGAAACAGACCCAAGTTAACACACCAACAAAAACCCAGCCCAGTCAGGTGGGGCTGCCTTCAGCCAGGCCTGTGACCTTCAGAGAGGCGGCAGGGTCTTCAGGGCTTGGACCCGGCCTAATTCCAATGCGGTGGGTGGAAGGGAAATCAGCCCACATTAGGCACAAGCAAACCCGAGGCCCAGGGACTGTCTGTGTGCAGATTTCCTGGGGAGCAGCGGGCATGGGCGGAATATACACGGAAAGCAGCAAGTCTCAGTCTGAGAACCAAGACGTGCAGTGGGAGAACAGGAACAAGCAGAAATGCAGGAAAAGCGAAAGATGAAGGAGAGGAGCGGGGGGGGGCGCGGGGGGGGGCGCCAAGGCCACTGGAGATGATGGAAATTAGGGGAGAAGCACGGGGGTGGGGGCGCCGCCCTCATGTACAGGACCAAGGGAGAAGAACCCAGAATCGGGCCCCTGATAAGGGAACCCCCCCCCGAGATTCCAGCTGGAGAGACAGACCCGGGGAAGGGCAGGGCCGAGAAGAGGGGCGCTCGTCAGAGAAAGCGGGGCGCACGAGGTGGGTGGGAAAGAGGGTGCGCTTAGCCCACACGGGCTCGATTGCGGGCCGGCTGCGGGCTCCCCTGGGGCCCAGGCGGGGCAGGAAAGCAGGAGCCCCAAATTTTGCCTCCGACCCCACCGCGTAGCCCGCTCCGAAGGGCCTCATTGACTTGCCCCTGCACCCTCCGCACCTCTACACCCCTGCATCTCTGCACCCTTGCACCCCTACCCCCTCTGAACCTCCGCGTCTCCGGCACCCCTGCACCCTTGGCCCCCCCACCCCGCCCCACTGCGCGCCGCCCGGACCCGCGCGTGGCGCGCGGCGATCCCAGCAGCCGACGCGAGAGGGCGCGCGAGGGTCGCCGGGTGCGCGAGCCGCGAGCGCCCCAGAAACGCAGAGGAGCGGCTCGGGGTGCTCTCGCGTGTAAGCCCTGGAAGCGGGGTGCAGCAAGAGCGCAGGCCGCGGGCCCCACCCCGCTTTCTCTGTTTGCACGCGAGCCGGATCTTTGCAAGGCTGCGTGGAACTG